TAAAATACGCTCTATCATCAAGCTTTTCATTCAGCTGATATGCCGCTTTTAATATGTGAGGTATGTTTGCTTCCAAATCAAAATTATAGATTTATTATTAATAGCTTTGAACTTCGCACAGGTTTTTCATGCATTTTAGGTTTTTCAAAAATTTAGCTAAAAAAAGCCTGAGTTGATTTTCATCAATTTATTTCACATCTAGAAGCTGGATTTAATTGCGGAACTTGAAAGGATATGGACTACTTTAAGATCTGTAATTATCCACTGCTCACTTGCAAGACTTAATGACTGCGTAATTAGCCGAATACTTGCCTATCTCTACGGAGCTAGAGCGATTATATCACTTTCATCCATCGCTAAAGCCTATCAGGATGCATATATGTCGTTTATGTAATCTTTTCAGGGAGATGTCTTCCGTCATATTGTATAACGAATATGTATGTAAAGCTGTGTTGGTTTCCCAACGTATGTGTATGTGGAGATTACGCTAAATCTGTCCCGAATAAAACTCATCCGCGTATTTGTTGTATCCTTTTTGCTTTCAACAGGGAAGTCTGAAGATGCGAATTGTAAATGTAATCAGTCGGTCTGCTGTAGGCTGCCGCATTGAATTGACCTCCTTTATTTGTGTGTATGTTTATGGAGCATTAAACAGTTATACAGGATGATTCAGTAGTATGGTTTTTAGAACTTTTTAATATAAGGAGCCGTTATTTCCCAACGCGCTCTGAATTGCTACGATAACAGGAAAAAATTGTACCCTGGTAGGGAGTGCTTCTGGGAATAAAGATCAATTGTTAAAGTTTTTCTTCTATGCACCTCAAGATCGACCAATAATGGCTTCCTTGTCAACCTGTGTGTGTAATGTATTATTTCAGCCACAAAGTGAAAGAACCTTGTAGCCAAAATAAGTGGCTAGGTGCTCTTGTACAAAAAAGTTCCTTCATCGTTTTTTTAATCGTCCATTTCTTTACAATCCCTCCCGTCGAACGTGTATCTTAGTATATGGCACAAAAATATCCCTGGCCTGAAAACACATTTACGACGCCCCACATTCTCTAGAATGGTCCCATACATATTAGGAATAATACATCCTCCTCCCAAACTCTGGCATCTCTCTCAAGGTTCAACGTTGTAAATTTTATATAAAAGCATTCACGATCTATTTATACATCTATCCAAAATAGAACTATTCTGCGTTTAATTTAGGGAAATCATATGCTCAACTCTATTTTGCTATAGTTGGATCTGATAGAGCAGAACGCATAAACGATGTTGATTTGCTTTTATACAAAAAGTCGTAAGCATTTCATCGTTGAATTGAATAGAACCTGAAATAAAGAGAAATCACACATCGAAATTATTGCATCACTAATTCAAGAAGAAAATTGAGTCAGTTTCATAGACGTTCTGTAAGACTTGAATGGCGTTTAAGGAAAAAGATCTGCTTGAAACAGTGAAACAATAACGTTTCTTGAGGAACTTTTAAGCGAGGATTTAAATTTTCATTTCAAAATAGGCTCTCACGGTTGTCATCATAAGCTATCATCCATGACAGAGATTTTTCTTTAACGACCGTACTATGTACTATTTTGATTACGGTTGTTGTTTTTTTTTAAACAGTAATGTTTGTTTTCTAGAATTTGTAGCTAATATCAGCATACACATAGAACAGTAAACTGAGTATATAGGCAAACGCTATTTGTTCAATGCTAGTGGCAGCGATACGTTTGGGATTTTGAGTACAAGTTTAGCCGGTCTGACCATGCGTGTAGCGTGTTAGCTTAGTTCAATTCTCAGGGATTGAATTTTAAACAAGCATTTCTTCTGGTGATAATTTTTGTTCTTGAGCGGTCCTTTGCTCGTGTTTTAGTGAATACAGTCTATTTTATCAAGACTGAAAGCGAAATTTTGATTGTTTAGGCTTCATTGAAAGATCAAACGGGAAACATGTACCCAAGGGTTACAATAGGTAATTTCTGAAAAGGTGCAGGTTTTCAAATGTCACCGTTGTGGAACTGAAGTTTGTTGGAACAGATATTTTTTTGATTTTAGATTTTATTTACTTTTGACGAAAAGTAAAAATAGTCTATATCCGGATTCATAAAAATACCATGTTGAGATCGTTCTTGTCATTGAGCGAATCATTTCTGTTCATCAGTCAAACAGTGGGTAGCAAACATCCCTTGACATGAAGTACATAATTATGTTGACATAAAGAACATATGAATGATGCATATTCTAAGCAAAATGCTAATATCTAAAATGTTTCTCATAATACCGTGTAGTAAATATAAACATCTCACATTTTTTTGTTAATTCCTTATGTAGATCTATTATGAATTGTGAAAAATTAAAAAAACCAATTGTAAATGTATAATTTTTGTGAGCAGTGCTAGTGTGAGTTTTTTGGGAGAGTCTTGTAAGAAGTGAATTGAAAATATCTTTTAGATATTTGAATTTTTTTATTGGAGAAAACGTGAATAAATAATAACATGACCAAAATAAACACGTTTGGTCACGCACAAGGTTTTACCTTCACTGAGTTTTTCTCATATTCATTTTGTCTATAGCTACACATTTAAATTATTGTATAATATTAATAACAATAATAAAAATGTCTTTATTAATACAGGTACATGAGTGAGGCGAAGTTTAGCCAAAAGGCTACTCTTGCACTTAACCGCACTGTGTGCGAAAAAGTAACATAGTTATACTCGATACACAAACAAACAATAATAATAATAAGCAGAAGAAAAAAGAGAAAAGCAAGTAAATAAAGGGGATAGATAACGTGTTTACAATGCTCACACACGAGCCAACAGAATAATATGAAGCAGAAAAAAGATAAAAATGTTTAACAAATGCACAGTAGACACAATTTAAATCAGAGTACTTAACATTTTTGATTATCAACCTTGGATTTAATTTCTTGGCCTGAGAGATTGTATATTTCGATGCCAACTTTGGACCAAGACTAGTTTTCAATTACTTCAAAGACGCATCATGTTTACAATGCACCGCAACACCGTTACGGATTTTACGTGTTTTATTTACACATATATTCATACTGGCCAAATTGACAGATGATTTTATGTCTTCTTACACCTGGCTTGTGTCGGAAGAGTTGCTATCAACAGATTGAACCAAAAGAACAGATGAGTATTAAGTACATATTAGGTTACTTTTTCCGCAACCGCGAAAGGAGACTGCCAGTAGCTTAGCAGTTCCTGTTCGGTGAGAACGCAAAAGCAACGCAACTGAAATCGAAACCGGATTGAGGTCGAGCTACCATCGAGTTGCTTTTGAAGAGAACCATTCCCGAGACGATACCCAAAGATCATAGTGCTAACCCCATGCATTATAGTTTTCTTACTTTCACAAAAAAATTATTGGTCATTCTCCATTTTCATCTATGCAGGACTTTTAAAAAAGTTAGTTCACTTGCTGAAACCATATCTGGCTAAAATTGCCAGCAATGGAAATGTCGGATCCACATGAGTGGCGCGAAATTTACATTAAATTGACCGCTATGGTCGACCTTTGGCCCGCAAGGCATTGTATTAAGTTTGTTATCAAATTTGTATAGGACAAATGACAACCTGGCAAATGTAAATTATATTAAATGCCAACGGAGGTTGTGATACCTACAACACTGCTTCCTTTACCATGACTAGCTAAGCATTTGCCAACCAACATACCGACACTTGTCAGATGTGAACATAGCTTATGGTAATGCATTGCGCCAGTTGTCATAATATATGAAGTTATAGAATCACAGATTATTAGCTACTCTGCAGAGAACATTCTCTTCTATGATTCCTGAGCCGCTTTCCAGTGCCTCATTTGTGTTACTCTGAGTAACTCGATACCAACCGCCACCTGTCAATACCGTTCCCATGCTCTAGAGTGCTATGCACTTGAGGTACTCATTTTTGAAATCCTCTGCCCCTCATGCACTCGCTTTTTATTCGGTGTTATACGCTCCGAAATAGTGGGGATAACGAAAATGACAATGTGTCAACATTGCTGGATTATGTTTTTTCACCGTTTTTGTTGTATTAAACTCACATTAAACCGATAGCAGACAGTGGAGGATGGTAAAAAACTGATAATGTATGACCCAGAGTCACAACGTACATTTGAGATGTTCCTAAATAATAAAGCTCACAAGATCGCCTTGCAGTTGGCTTCCTCTATAACTAGTCACTTTGAAAATAATTTTGTATGTCTACACTAAAATATGAATTCGGCACATTTACCCGGAAGCTTTACAATAAAAATGCAGACCTCTGACATTTTGCGCCATCATTCTAAAATCATCATCTGGCATCAATTGGATAGTCTGACAATGCTTCTGAAGATAAAGGCAAAATATTTTTCACATTTTCATTGTTAGTTTGGCAGTTGCAAAGCAAAACATCGTTGCGTTCCCCTGCACATTTGCTGGAGTAGTTCGGGAGCATACAACTCTCAATTCAAAAGCAGCGCCATCTGACGGTTGCGCCGAACACTAACCCATAACAAACGAATCTAAAACGACGGTTGTTTACAGAATTCTGATCAGTGAGGCTTGCCCACTCTGTTATCCGCGGATTGCATTATATTTATAAACAAATGTATACACGGTGTTGTCAATTATTCTAACTTAAAAAATATGTATTCGTTATGGAAATTAGTCATTAAGACATTCAGTTTCCAGGTTTACTCCCACTTTCATTCTGTAAAATAACATACAACATATAATAAGAACCATGTAAATACAGTGTGGGACAAAAAACCTACCCGATTTGGAAACCGTCTAGCTACGCCAATGGGGGAGGGGGGATAGCGCAGTAGGGGATATATCATTCAACGTGTCTATTCCTGCCATTTTTAATATAAGTCATGGCTTGGTCAGTGCCGCACCGCGCTTTCGTCGTAATTTGATAATCTCGCCTTGACAAAAATTTCCAAATTCTAGTATAGATCATACTAACCCCACTCTGATCTTGTTCCAGCCTCAGCGAATGCTACTTCGCCGGCAAGGGCACGGCGCTGGTGCTACCGGACGCGTCATCGTCTCACGGCACCGCCTCCGACGCCAGCGGTGGTTTTCCTGCCGGATCGTCCCCCTTGGCGTTGCGACGATCAGGGGCAGGGCTACACGACGCTTGTGACGGCGCTGCACCCCGACGAGATGGCAGCGCCGACAGTGGTGAGAGGCGGACCAAGGAAGCCGCCTCCGCTGCTGATCAGGAGGACTTGGAGGTGGCGATGCGACAGGCCAATCCGTCGCAATCACCCACCTATGGTAGTAGTAACATACAGCGCCATCTGCAGTCGATGTTCTATCTGCTCAGGCCCGAGGAAACTTTGAAAATGGTGAGTACCTTTTTGATTATACTGAGTTACTACACCTTGTATATGTATGGTCGAAAATAGATAGTTTTGGAGATTTTCCAATTTTGTGATTTTTTACCCGAAATTAGGTATGTGAATCTAATTAAAAAAACTACATGCGAAACGTGAAGATATTTGATTATATTTTTAGCGTATACTTAAATTCAGCTAATACAATGATAAAAAAAACAAAAAACCACAGGCAATAAAATAACGGCTGTTTTGTACATTACTAGAAAAACCTGTAAGGACAGCTTTCTAAAAAAAATACCAAACATCAGTATGAAATAGTTTTCAAAGTTAGACACAGTTTTGTTCTAAGTGCTGGTCGAAAGGGAATTAAATTACGGGTAGGAGCTCGATCAAACAGGATTTATTTTGCAAATTCCGCAAAATCAAACGCCATACGTCATAACCACAAAACATAATTGGCATCTCGTCTCAGAACTCAAAAATCATAGAGCAATAAAGGAGAAGTGACATTGATGCGGTGTTGACTTGAACGTCAACAACCCAGTGGGGTTTATAATGTTGCCATAGCAGAGAGCATAAATTAGATTCGGAATATATAATGTAGGTGCGACATTCATGTAAGTGCTACATAAGGAAAATTTAAAACAGAACTAACTAATTTTTCGAATTACTTGTTTTTTATTCTGTTTTATTTTTGCACATTTTATGTTTTTAACAGCTCAAACTAATTTTTCGAATTACTTGTTTTTTATTCTGTTTTATTTTTGCACATTTTATGTTTTTAACAGCTCAATTTAGGTATAAACTACATATATTTTTACATTGGTCGATTCTAGCCATGTCTTAAGTAGTTAGCAACTAGGCGCGTATAGCTTCAAGGTACCTGGAAAATCGACACACGTAAATTATATATACTAGCCTAAATGCCGGGACACCGCATCTGCTATGAGGATCCCAAAGAAATTTTGTTCATCCGAACTGCCTAAGGTTAGTAGAACTGGGAAAAGCTTCCTCTTGTAGATTGTTCCACAATCTCGACACCCTCGGGACAAAGGAGCGGTCGTATTTGCTAGTTCTGGACGTACGAAGTTAGGATGGGAGGCCAAAGTTAGGCGGGACTGTCTGGCAGGCACATTGCGTGGCGGAATCATGGAAGAAAGCTCTGAGGAGCAAAGCCCGTTAGTGTAGCGATAGAAGAGGGCTAGATCGCCAACGGCCCGCCGGTGCGAAACGTTCCCGAGACTGTCTGTTAACGTGTGAGCGATACTCGAGGCTAGGCCTTATCTGGGCCTTGTATAGAGTAAAAAGGTCATGCGAAGAAAAGTACTTCTTAGCCCTAAACAAACACCTTAGCTTTTTTCCAGCAGCTGCCGCTATTGACGAGATGTGTCCGATCAGCCGAAATGAACGGCTCGTTAGAAAGGAAGTCATCGCTAGTCTTCTTTTTTCCAGCTCAGCGGCAGAGATCGGCTTGTCACTCTTAATTCCTGCATATAGAGTACTGTCATCGGCGAAGCTGTGGATTGGGTTGAGCGTATAGGAAAGGAGGTCGTTGATATGTAAAAGGAACAGTGTCGGAGCCAAGACCGATCCCTGGGGAACACCCGCGTTGACGTTGTGGGATGAAGAGCAGAACCTGTCAATTACGACTGATATCTTGCAGTCAGAGAGAAACTAAGCCACACATCGGCAAAGCAATTCTGGGAGGCCATAGGATGGAAGTTTGCATAAGAATTCAGAGTGCCATAGCTGATCGAACAATTTTGTGATATCAAGAGCACCGACATGAGCCTAACCATAAGACTGGATGAGTTTACTCCCCGATTGCGTGACGTAAGCCCGGAGGTCCCCTGTGGATCGCTGATGCCGGAAACCATACTGCCTCTCGCTAATCAAACCGTGACGTTCCTGGTAGTCCAGAAGCTCGCAATTCATGCACCTCTCCATCTCCTTGCTTATAACAGAAAGCAGAGCTGTAGGCCTGTAGTTGTAAGGGTCGGTCTTAGATCCTTTTTTTAGGATGGGTTGGACATGAGCAAATTTCCAGTTTTCTGGGAAGGTGTCGAATTCATAAGATATCTGGAAGTGACGCGGAAGAACTGGAGCAAGCTCCACTGCACACCTCTTCAGTACAATGGAAGGAATCGAGTATGGACGAGAAGTTTTGTTGATGTCGAGCGACAAAAGCACCCGTCTTACGGTCTTATGCCTGAATGTTACTTCCCGCATAGTGTAGGGAACCCTTTGAATCGACTGCACTTGGGCGTTGGGGGGGACGTCCATGGTGGAGTTGGCAGCAAAGATCTTGACAAGCACTTCCGGCTTGGCCTTTGGGTCAGATACAATCGTTCCATCCTGGCACGTAAGATCTGGGCGCTACTGTGTGCGAAGTTCTTTTCAATCTGCTTAGCCAGTGTCCAGAAAGACCGTTTGCCATTGCGCTGCGACATTACCCTGAGCCTTACTTTTATATCATGCTGGCTTTTGGCATTGCGAACCGCTTCGTTATATTTGTTTCTGGACTGGACGTCGGCTTGTCTGTTCTCTACAGTGGGGTTTTGTAAGAAGGCTCTGTGTGCCTTGATCTTCTGCTGGCGAGCAGTGCCAGACGATTTGTTGAACCAGCCGTTTGACCATGGTTCAGTCACTTTCACTGTATGAGGGATGTATTCCTCAATTCCGACGTGCATAATTTCGGTTATCGAAGAACAGGCAGCCGACGCATCCGTGTCTGCAAAACAGACATCTCTCCAAGAAAACGTGAGAAGAAGTCTCTTAGCCCCTCCCAGTCAGCATGTCCGTAATGCCAAATGTTGCAGCCTGTGCGAGTTTCTACTGCCACAGCGGGTTCTGACCGAAACATAATCTCCACAACACTGTGGTCTGAGTTACCCAGCGGGAGAGGACACCAGTGCTGTAAGGCACACGATGCGTGGTAAGAAAGAGATCCAGCAGGCTAATGGCATGTTACGAGACGCGGGGGAAAAAAGTACGGCTTGTTACCAGCTGGGTCAGCCCTTGAGTAAGGGCAAACGCTTCAACTGCACGACCTACTGCATCAGTCTTGTTTGAGCCCAACCAAAGCTCATTATGGGCATTGAAATCGCCGAGGACAACTACCTCTGAAGCGAGGTGATTGATGTTCAGGAAGTCGATCTTGACGGCGAGATATTCAAGGCAGGTCATCCCAGTTATGGTCCGAGGGAGAGCGATAAAGGCAGCAAATACATTTGGGGGATGTTTTGTAGTTGAGGCGAAGCCACATAATATCCTTCCCGTCTGATTCCAAAGAAACATCTCTGGAGCAGGAAATCCTGCTGCGGAGAAAAGCCATAACTCCCCCGTTCTTTCTCAGATTAAAGGCCCCCCTCGTAATTTGGGAAGCTAAGATGGTTGATCGGTGCAGACTCTGAGATTGTTGTCTCCGCCAAGAAAAGCATGGCGAGACGATTGGATTGCAAGTAGAGATGAACAGCATCAATATTGCTGTTAATCCCGCAGATGTTCGAGAAACAAATTTTATCTTCGATGCTGTTCCCTCGAGTCCACCCTCCACCCGTACACTCCGACAGTGGAGTGAGTTTACGTCCGGAATTCTTATACTCAAGCGATCCATCATCATTAATTTCTTTGTTGGGGAAGATAACCGACTGCGTAGCTTAGGTGTGGAAACATGCGGACATTTATAAGACACCCTGGGAAAAGCTAGCGGGTGGTACCTCCTCGATCGACTGGTCCTTGTCTACCACGTTCTTTTTGCTTGTTAATGATGTTAAATAGACCTAAAGTGGCCCGTTGGCGGACCGCCATCCGGCAATCGGCACTGAAGTATTCATTAACGCGTGTACAATCACTCGAACGGGAAGAAGGTGTATACTGGATACAACAACTTCCGGAACAAGCATTTGCCACGGCCCCGCTCAGTAACGTCACACTGACACTCAAAGTATCTTTAAATAAGCCGATTTTATGTCTAAAAATTACAACAAATATCAAAATTTATAATGTGGTGTGGTGTAAGCCACTGACCAAGTGTAACATGTGTATGGTAACTGGGTATTAATATAGAAATTTTACTTCTATATTAATACATACAGTACATTTTATCAGATTGTTGAAAAGTTCATCCTCTGCTAGAAAATGCACTATAAGTAGCTTGGCTAATCTTCATTCAATTTCTATGTTGTCTGTACTCTCTAAGGTTGTAGAAAAAAACATGAAATTTCGATTAATGCAACATTATAGATTAATATGATTTGCTACCTTCATATCAGTCAGGCATTCACAAGGGTTTCAGTTGTACGACTGCGGTTCTAGATGTTACAGATGATATTATCACTTTAGGTTTTTATCCATATACAAGCCGATGATACTCGGTTAAAATTTAAATTTTCTCACACTGACATGAAGGCTGCAACTGCCATATTTAATGAAGATCTTGGTAATTTTTTAAACGAACGCACAGCTCATCAGCTGAGATGCGCTGTCTATAAGTCCATTGAAATCGAATTTTTTGTTTTATTTTGGAAGCACAAGAATTTAGATTATTTTATAATCTCAATCAATACTATTATTCATCATACATCTACTGCAGCTGGATAACGATATGGGATTCACAAAGCATGTTGACAAGTACATTGGTCAAGCTTGTGTCCCTCACATTTTTTCCAAAGACCTAAAGATTTCACTCTGTGATACCCTTGTTTTGTGTTAGTTCAATTACTGTGACTCAGTTCATGGCTCACAATATCAATGTCCGGTTCTGAGGTTTTATTTCCCAACCACTACATCGTACTACAATGCTCAGTGTATCTTTTTCACATTTTGTTTATCGCTTGCACAACCATGTCCCCACGGAGCTTAACTCCATGCCAGTGTCATCTTTCAAAAAATCTTGGAAACTTTTAGAACAATAATTATTTGAGTTTTTCTATGTCCTTTGTCATCTGAAGATGAGTTTGATGTCGGTTAGATTCTGTTTTCCGTATTTTCAAGTTGCTTTTTTTGCT